AGGGAATTTTATGTTTTGTTTAACCTTGATGAATTGTATAAAGAGAGAATTTAAGAATTACATTCTTTATTTTCTATTAGCTGTATTCATACTTTGGTTGCTTCAGACTTTATATATATTGTTCTTAAGGATTAGGAAAGGATTTCATGTGTTTTAAATTTGTCACTTCTATTCTTTACAGAACCTTGTAGTGCCAAAAACTTTTTAAAAGGTAAAAAAAATAAATAAAATTACAACAAAGATTCAAAAAATTTTTCTTTTACATCCTTGTATGTTGAATATATTCAAACTTGAATGGAAAGTTTTGTCTGTATTTGAAGTTCTATTTTAAGTTAATAAATCTTTTTGACAAGAGTCAAATTTTGTTAATTCATATGGTTTAAATGATAGGAATACATTGTAATAATGGAAAGATTTTACTCTTAGTGGCTATTCTAAATCAGACGTTTTAGATATTTAAGGTCTTTTCCTTCATTTTATTGGATTTTTACAACTACCATTATGAGGGTGATAGAAGCAGATGCCATGTCCATTTTATTGTTGAAAATGAAAACTGAAGAGCAGCAGAACAGTGAAGTGAAATACAAAGGTAGCAGAGCATCCTACCTTTTGCAGGACAGTTGTTTCAACCCCTGCATATCTCCCTTCCCCCCAGCCCATTCCTGTCCCCACCCCAAATAATTCTTTGTTGTTGTTTGTTTTTTGAGACAGGGTTTCTCTGTGTAATATCCCTGGCTGCCCTGGAGCTCACTTTATAGACCAGACTGGCCTTGAACTAACAGAGATCCACCTGCCTCTGCCTCCCAAGTGCTGGGATTAAAGTGTGAGCTCTCTCCACCTGGCTCAAAATAAATCTTTAAAAAAGAAACTAAAGAAAAAGCAATTATTTTTAGTGAAGAACTAGCATGTGCCAGACTGTCTATTCAGGGCCTTGTGCTGCTTCCTGGAAAGACACTTGCTAGGATGGTAACTGTTTTATACTTGTCATCAGTCAGGAGCCCTGTAGCTGCTGGGGTGTTGTTTAAGAAATACATCACGGTGTGATATCATTGTTCAAACATCAGTTTGCCTAAACTTAGATATTGTCAATCTGTTTATTTGGCTTCTTGTTACAGTAAACATAAGATATGTGAGTCTGGCTGCTGGCAGAATATATCATACCCTTACAATAACAGGCAGTACAAATAGGTTTGATACATGAACTTCACCATAAACCTGTAATATATAGGTAGTTCTGAGATCATGATACATATAGTAGAAATTTTCAGCCCCGTTATTATAGGCCACAAAGTTTGTCACCAAGCAAAATGTTATCATAAAGTATATGGTATATTAAAATTCAGACTTGCGATAGTGCCAGTTTTTAGCTATTCCTTTTACAGTGAGTTATTTTTTCTCAAGTCACTCAATTAGATTTGCCAGCTGGAATTATGGATTCTAACTAATAGTAGATAAAATTTTATTTGTAAGGATAGTGTATTATTTTTATTCAGATTTCTCAGGGGTGTATTAGTTAAACAGGAGATTGTCTGAGCTCTTGCCATATTTTCCACTTGAAAAACATTTGAAATATTCCTGAAATGCTGGTGGATGAGGGCATTCCTGCCATATTTACAGCCCCAAGGACAGGTATATTTATTGTTGGTTTTTTATATTACAGATTCAGTATCATTCAGAATCTTGTTGGAGTCAGCTCTTTTGTTAATAATATACCTCATCTTCCTGTACTTTTAAGTTAAGAAACGTGAAGCAACCTGCAATCCCAGCATTCTGGAGGTGGAGGCAGAAGGATCAAAAAATTCAAGATCTGTCAAGCATGACAATTTTAATCCTAATGATTGGGAGGCAGAGGCAGGCAGATCTTGAGTTTGAAATCAGCCCGATCTATATATCAAGTTCCAGGATAGTCAAGGTAATATAGTGAGAAAATTCAAGGTCATCCTCAACTACATAGAGTTCCAGACCAGCCTGAGCTACAAAAGACTGTCTAAAAACAAATTGATAGATAATTCAATTTTTAAGCATTCAAATATTTCACCTGGAGATTAAGAGGATGATATTCTTTTCCCTGACTGGTCTTTCTGCTTTTGTGTATAATTGAGGTTTTCACAACAACAACAACAAAAAAACAAAGAAACCCTTTTACAATCTCCAACATGGCAATATGCTGGGAACTCAGCCCTCCCCTCTCCCCTTTCTGAAAGCAGCTTGTTAACACAGGCTTTACATCTATGATAGTGTTCTATTCACTGATTGTGAACATACCTGCCCTTCCTTCAGAGTTTGCAAAACTGTATTCTAAGCTGAGGAACAGAATTTGCATAATAGCTCAGTCGTTTGAAAATAGTTAACAGTACAAAAATGATCAGTCCTAGAGAACACATGCACACTTAAAATCATAATTACTTTATAATACAATTTTTGTGCCATTTGACATGGAGTTGGTTTTACCTTGGCCCATTAAATCACACTAATAGCTGCATGTGGTGGCATATACCTTTAGTCCCAGTCCGTACTTGGGAGGCATAGGCAGGTAGATCTATTTCACACCATTCTGACCTATATATATATACCTACTCAGTTCTAGGCCAGCCAAGGCTACATAGTAAGGCTCTGTCCCAAAACACTAAAGAAAAATATTAACAATAAACTATGTAATTTGTTTAGTCCTCTTTACATACAGTTTTTCTGTTGGTAAATTTTCTCCTGTAAATAAAAAAAATGCATGCATATTGATGGCAAAATAATGTTTGTAGATTTACTCTACTAGGGTGAGTGGGATCGAAAGGATGAAAATTTAAAATTTTTAAAATTATGCCTATCTGTTGGGAGCACAGGTGTCCTTCGTCTAAAAGAGGGTGTTCAATCCCCTAAAGCTGAAATTACAGGTGCTTGTGAGCCACTTGAAGTCGGTGCTAGGAACTGAAGTCAGAGCTTCTGCAAGAGCAGTATATTCACTCTTCACTGAGCCATCATTCCAGGCCCAAAAGTTCTAAAGTTTCTTCCTAACTGCCTTCCATAAAAATGGTTCCCAGATAAAACTTTAAACTCCCAACCCACTTTCCTTGTAAATGATAATGTGATGTGTTAAAGTTTAGGGCTAGCAAGATGGCTAAGCAACCAAAGTGCTTGCCTTTCTTGATGAAGAAAACAGGATGTCACTTTTGTTTCACATATTACTTGTGCGTGCATACACAAAATAAAATGTAAAGCAGTAAAATTCATCAAGTAAGAATTCTATTATCTGGTAAACTTGAATCATTCCAGTGAATTATCATAAGTGTATATGCAGAAGACTTTATAAAAGTGTTTACGTGCTACTTTAACAAATACAGCTAGTTAGGCAACAGATGTCTGTCCCCTGGGCTAGTGAGGCACTTAAGTAGAGGAAATTAATTTCACTAGACTTAGAAGACTAGGAAGTTGAAATGAAAATTGTTTTTCCACACAAGAAACCCTAATTTCAAGATTGCTCACAAGACTAAGAATAGTTATATAAAACACTGAAGAGACAACTTTTATTTTCCTAGCTTCATGTTTCTCTGAAGTCAATATGCTTAATATAAAAAATGAACAAAACCTTTTGTTTTCATTTTTACTATTCTATATGTGGATGCATGGTGCATTTAAAGATCCAAGGAGTGGAGGAACTTTTTCCTCATATAGTATCCAGGAGTCAAATTCAGGTCATTAGGCTTGGTGCCATTTTCTGATGTTTAAAACTTGTATTACACTACTGAAGAGTAACAGAAAGAGGTTAATGAGGTTATATTGGGTTCTATTACAACCCACTAACCAAGTCTGCCACTTCTTTTCCCTCTGAAAACACATCTTCCTTAATGTTAAGGTCATTGTGTCCTATGTAAGCTTTTAAAGAACTGGATTACAAATTGTGGAAAGTGGAATCCACTTAGTGACTTAAAAATCTTAACTATAGGGACTGGAACAATGGCTCTGTGGTTAAAAGCATCTGCTGTTCAGTCATGAGGAGTGGAGTTTGGATCCTAGCACCCACCTTACTCACAAATGCCTGTAACTGCCAACTTCAAGCAATCCAACACCTTTTTCTGGCCCCTGTTGGCACTTGTACTACACTAAGACATGCACATACAAACATTTTTTAAAATCTTAATAATTTAAGTAATATGAATGCATTTTGCATAATTTGGTGTTTTGTTTGTTTGGTTTTTGGTTTTCTAAGACTGGGTTTCTCTGTGTAGCTCTGGCTTTCCTGGAACTTGCTCTGTAGGTAGACCAGGCTGGAGTTCTGGAATTAAAGGTGTGTGCATCCACCACATGGCCTGCATAATTTTTTAAGGTCTGTTTTAGCACAAAAAATACATGCATGTGTACAGTTGATATGTAAATTATACTTCTAAGAGTATGTTTTAACCTAAGAGATTTAACACTACCATTCAAAGGCCTCATGTAATAATAGGTGAAACAGATGACAGAAATTTGTTGTTAAAATCTCTGAACTGGCGGTGGTGACACATGCCCTTAATCCCAGTACTTGGGAGGCAGAGGCAGGTAGATCTCTGTGAACTTGAGGCCAGCCTGATCTACAGAGTGAGCTCCAGAACAGGCTTCAAAGCTACAGAGAAATCTTGTCTCGAAAAACCAAGGGAAAAAAAACCTTGTATCTGTAATTCTATGGTTTGTTAAAATGGTTACCCTTATCTCCTTTGTTCTAATTAAGTAGTAGCAATATTATGTTTCTTGCTGCCCATTGATCCAGATTCCACTATATCTAATGCATACTTTAAAATTTGTAAATATTGTTGGGGCTTTTTGTTGTAGGTCTATTATTATTTAAATCTACTTTAATTTTAAATTCTTATTTTAATGGTTGGCCAATGGATTATATAGCCAGAGGCATCTCTTTCCATGTAAATCACTTCAGAAAGAAATAACTTTTAGGAATCTCTACCAAACCTGGGTAGAGATACTTGTATCTAATTTTAAAAGTCACAATAGATAGTTGTATCAATAAGCTATAATAGGTCTTATCTTACAACTTTATTGATTTAGGTATCATGGTTAGAGAAATCATTAAAGAATATAAAAATGCAAATTGATAAAAACTGCTTTAATATTGCTACAAAAGCCCTCCCAGTCAACAGCAAACAATAAAAATGTTTATCCTAGGACCAGATATAACTTCCTATAAGGCAGCTAGTCTTTACAATTCTTCTTAGGATTAGAATTACAAGAAGTCAATCATTTCTACCCTCTTAAAGGAGGAAAGGTAAGTACAGGCAAAAGGAACTGTTTTAGCTAAGATAGTAATACTCTCCAGTATCAGTGCCTATGAACTTAATAAAGTTTTATTTTGCTTATATAGCTTCAGACCCTTCAGTGTCCTTGACCTGATCTACTTTTGTGAATGGCTCATTCCAGCATTTACTAGGTGACCTGTATTATTAGTCACAGTGTTGACATTGCCTGTGGTGCTGCTATTTGTTCTTAAATCTATTCATACTCCCTGGGTATTCATCTAAACATCTTTAACAATTGTCAGCTGTGGCCTAGATTACTATGTTGAACCCCACGAGTTCCTATTTCTATCTATGTCTTAAACTTGCTAAATTGAATGTGTCATTTTCATTACCACCACAACCTTCGTACTCCCATATCCTCTAAAAGCAGTCTCTAATGTTATCTAGCAGCTTAGGTCAAAACTACAAACAGTATTCTGCTTCAACCTGTTCAGATTACAGGTGCAAACCACTGTACTTGGCTTGTATTAAGGATGTTACGTGCAATCATGTTGAATTGTTTTAATGAAACTGAATTAAAAAAATCCAGAAAAAGCTTTACATTTGAATGTATTCTGTTCCTACAAAACTGCTAACTAGTAACTTTTTGTGTTTACTGTACTACTGCTATGGAATTACTACTAGCTTGGTTGCAGCAGCATAAATCACAGGATTGTCAGGTTTTCATAGAGAAACCAAAATAGAAACTAGGGAAAAATGACAATTGTGCCAGGTTTAATTACAAATAAAAGGATCACCATGTGGCTACATCTCTTCATTCTCATGAATCTCCCCAACTCCCAGGTCCTCCTGACCCTTGTTAAGTATGAATAACCATAGTTGGTTAGGTCAAAACCTGACCTTGATTTGGTCAAAAACACCCTTCAAAGATGTTGATTATAATTCAAAGAGATACAAAACTTAGCACCTCTGTAATATTAAAATAAAAACAAAACAAAACCAACCAAACAAACACCTGGCCCCAAAATACTCATAGCTGCCTGAAGAGGAGATCTTGATCATTTCACTTAGACAGATATTCTCATATTCACAGGAGGCCATCTGGACTTAAATAACAATGAATCCATTACTCATTTCCTCTCCGGCTCTTCTTATGGCTTTTCTTAGACCTGAAATGGGATATAAATGATTACATTAAGGAGCATATGGAAGACAGTCATAGTTTGCTGACACTGATAAATAGAGATGATAGAAACATTAGATACACTTTGTTTTCTTGACAGTCGTGTCTTCCTTAGTTCAGGGTAGGAACTCAAGCAGGAACTTTGGATGGAGGAAAGCTGCTTACTTCCTTGCTCTCTAGCCAGCTTTTTTACATAGCTAGAGCCAACGATTGATGGATGGTGCAGCCCTCAGTAGGCTGGGCCCTCCTACATCATTCTAGCCAGTCTCTCACAGATATTGCCAAAAGCCAGTCTAATGTAGACAGATCCTCAATTGAGATTTCCTTTTTCCCAGGTGACGAGTTGTGTCAAGTTGACACTAAAAACTAACCAACACATCCTGCCTCAAAAGAGCACTCAAGGAAGACACGAAGGTCTGAGTTTCCAGCCTCTACATGCACTCAAGTGCATATGTACATGTTAGCAGGCATGGAAAACACACAAAACAAAATTGTGCTTGGTATGGCGATGCACCTGTAATTCCAGAGCTGGGGAGGCAAAAGTGGGACTGTCCCAGCCCAGTATTAAATTCTTAAAATAGAGGTTTAACTCATACCTTTCAGGAGACTTTGAATGACTCCTATGTCTGTGACTACGGTGGTGACCTACGGAAGAAAAGGTCATTTGGATGAGTTTCTAGAGTTCTCCTACTTGTAGGCTATCATGTCACCTTCCCCAATTCCTGTCATTCAGGTATTACCTTTTGGCCTATAATGAGAGGATACCACTTATTAACAAACCTGTCTGTTTGATTGTTAGTTGTAGCAGGGAATGCAGTAATGAAGTCATATATCCAGAACATTATGGCTAACTTCACAAAACATTACCTCAGGCTTTGACCAAAAGGCCTTATTTTTGCAATTTTGGATAAAAAACCTGCAATCCCATCACCAGAGTCTAATGAGTACCCTCACTTTTAAATTCCATGTCCATCTCCTTTCCCGTTAGGTAGTAGTGCAGTTATGTGTTCTGTGCTATAGGAGTTTCAATGCTCTTTTTAGATTTCTTTACTAAAACAAGCAGGAAAGAGCCCAAATACTATACCTGGGGATTTAGAGCGGGATCTGTGTCGTCTGTCTCGGGATCTGCTTCGATGTCGTCGTGGACTCTTGCTCCTATGCCTTTCTCTACGGGGAGAAGGGCTATGGAAAAAACAGCCAGCTCAGCATAGGTTTTGCAATAAAGACCACCACCACTTTCTTTCTCGAAACCCTCCTCTTGTCAGAAATGACCCAGGACTCACCTTCTTCTTTTGGGGGATCTACTTCGCCTGTGGCAAGAAGAAGAGCAGGTTAGTGCACTGGATACTGGAAATTGTAAAATATAAATAAATAAAATCCACCCCCACCCCTTTTAAGAGGGGAGGAGTGCTGGAAACTCAACAGAGTGGCTCCTGCTTCTTATTTGTATCTGTCTCAATTGTACTAGACTTCTACTTTTAACACTGTAGCCATGCAATTTATTTTGACCAGTGAGATAATAGCAAATACGATATAGATATGAACACTTGCACGAAGGACCAGTTGTCTCTAGAATTCTGTTATCACCTTCAGAACATAACAGACTTAACCTTCTGGAGGATGGGAAGTACAGAGAAGCTGCTCTAGCCATCCTTATTAAGGTTACTCAGTTGTATATCTAAGCCCAGCTTAATTCACTGACCACAAACTAAGTAAATTAAAGAAATAGATTTTGTTTTTCTACCAATGAGGTTTTATAGGTGAAGGTTCAGTAGTAAAAGGGTAACATACACTGGCAAACATTCTCTATAGGCTAATCTTTTTCCTTTCTAAAGTTAGAGTCCTAGGCTGTAGTGTTCTAGCCTTACCTCCTGGGAGACCGACTCCGACTCCTCCTGTAGCGCAGTGCAGGGGAGCGTCTTGGCTTGTCCAAGTCTCGGTAGCTTCTTCGTCGGTGATCAGGTGATGGCACTCTTTCCAGCTTGAAAGAACATGGATGAGTACTGGCTCTTATTAAAAGCAGTCATGTAAGAACATAGGTATTGTTCCCTCTATTCTGTCCCCATGTACATCTTTTAAATGACTTTACAATAGTGATTTGACTACATAGATATGTAGCCCTAGTGACAAAAATCATCACCAGTATTGGCAACTGACAGGCGGTGGTGGCACACACTTTTAATCCCAAATTTGGGAGGCAGAGACAGGTGGATCTCTGGGATTTGATGGCCAGCTTAGTCTACAAAGCAAGTTCTAGGATCCAGGCCTACACTGAAAAACCCTGTCTTGAAAATCAGGGAGAAAAATACTTATTTCCTTGATCTGGATTTTCAGTGTGAAAGAAATAGATGAAAGATTAGTAATGTTAACACAAAGTCACAGTGGATTTTAATCTTAATTTCCTCTTTAACAAAAGTGTAGGAGTGGGAGTTGGGCATGGTGGTATATGCTTTTAATCTCAGCAGTCTAAGGCTGAAGCAGTTGGATTCTGGTCTATATATTTCCAGGACAGCCAGAGCTACATAGATTCTGTCTTGGGGAGTCAGGAGGAATTGTAGCAATACCCAGATTATTAGTTACCTACTTCTTGGATAAATACCTATATTTATGTTTGGTACATAAGAGGTTAGATGTGTGTAGAGGCTAGAACACACCACCATCATATATAAAGAAAGGAAGCTATCAAAGCTGTGAAGATAGAAAAAAAAATCTCAGAAGTCTAGTTGGATAAGATGCTTCTGCTAGCCAAGGGATTAAGTATCTACATGGATTAACATACCAAACTTGCTTAAACTTTGGTGGTTTAAAATGTTACCCTTATCAAAAAAAAAAAAAGCATCACTTTGGGAGGATACTACAGAACCAACTCATGGCTTTGTGTGCCTATCTTCCTTCATAAGAAACTCATCTGTTTTTGTAGGGAGACAGTATCCCTTACTTGTAGCCTTTAAACTGTTATGAAAACATGCTGATTTGGAAGGTTTCCTCTTTATGAATATTCCACATTAAAAAAATGAAGATTTGAAAGTAGAATACTTTCTAACACACTTAGGCATTGGCCATCAGTGGATCCTAACATTACAAGTGAGATAAGGCCAATGGGATGGCTCAGTGCCCATGCCCACAAGAGAAAGACAACATTAGAAATAAGGAGAATATGCCAGCCAGACATGGTGGCTCACATTTAGCACTTGGGGAAACCGAGGCAGGAAGACCAGGCATTTGAAGTTATTTTAGGTTATGCAGCATGTTAATGGCCTGCTTGGGTTACATGAGACCCTGCCTTAAAAGGTAAAACAACTACAAAGAGCCTGTATTTGGTTCATTTCCCAGAGAAGAGTACATCATCCTTGCATCACTTCACTCTAAAGTGAAGTGATGTATTTCATTAGAATTGTCCCAGGATCCATGTCAACATTTGTACTTCCTCTCTTGTTTATTTTATGTTTGTTTTTCCTTGCATGTATTTTCTGTGCACTGTGTATGTGCAGTACTTGTAGAGGCCAGAAGTGGTTGTCCATTCCCTTGGAACTAGAGTTACAGCAGACATACCTGTATGCCTCTTAGTATTTTTTTTTCCTGAAAACTTACTTTAAATTATTTCAGAAAGGACAAACAATACTATTTATATTTAATCCGAAAAAGAGCTTACTATACTCTCAGCAGCATATTCAGTTACTATGTGTTCTGGGATTGTACCTAATTTTATTGTTTTAGTTTTCTAAGAAAGGGTCTTGCTAAAGGTAGTCTGCAGCCTCCTATGCAGCCCAGGCTAGACTTCAAACTCCTATCTGTCTTTATCTCCTAGGTGCTGAGCTTACAGACCTGTACAACCACACCCAGGACTTAATGTTTCTGTAGTATGGCTATTAGATTTGAGCTAGTATATATGTATATATAAAGATTCATTTATTATGTATGCAGTTTTCTGTCTGCATGCATGCCTGCAGGCCAGAAGAGAATGCCAAACCTCATTACAATGGTTGAGAGTTCCCATGTGGTTGCTGGGAATTGAACTCAGGATCTCTGGAAGAACAGTCAGTACTCCTAACCTCTGAGTCATCTCTCTAGCCCCCTCCTGTATTTTCAAAACTGCAAATGGAAATCATGAATTTCCTTTACTCTGTGTGTGTGTGTGTGTGTGTGTATGTGTGTGTGTTTGGTACTAGGAATTGAACCTAGGGCCAGGCTGGTCTATATAGTGAAGCCCTCCCCCACCCTTCAAAAAAAAAAAGAGAAAAAATGGAAAACAAATGTTTTTACATTAGCAACAATAATAACAAAACCAAACCAAGGGATTTAGGTACAAATTAAAAGGGATAAATCTAGGACTGAATGTAGGTAAATTGGACAAATTTACACATAAAACTTCTTTAAGACCTGTAAAGGCCTAGACACTATGTTTACAGTTATTGATGCCATTACCATCTCTGTTTCCCATGATCCCATTACAAATTCTATGCATTTTAAAAAATTTTTGAAAATGGTAATTATTGTTTATACTGGATGTGTACTCACATACATACACATACTTGCATGTATGAGTGCCCTTGGAGACTAGAGCGTGTTAAGATTCTCCTGGAGCTGGAGTTAGAAGTTTTGGTGAGCCACGTCACACAGGTGCTATAATCCAAATTCCAGTCTTCATGCCTCAGCAGTCAGTACTCTTACCAGATGAGCTATCTCTTCATCCTCTCAATGTAACTCTAATCACAATCCCAGCAGATTCTATCCTTTCTATCAAGAGAACAATGAACCTGAGGCTGAAGAGATGGCTAGCTCAGTGGTTTAGAGGACTTGTTGCTCTTGCAACCCACACCCTCTGCAAGAGCAAACATGAGGGCTTCACCTGTTTCTGCTTCTCTGGAGAGGTAGAATGAAAGGTGTGTACTACCATGCCCAGCAGGCTTACAATTTCTTTCTTTCTGGCCCTTTCTATGCTTTAGCACTACTTTACTATAAATACTTTCACATTAGTTTTAATAGTTGTTTAACAGTCTATCTGACTCTGCAATCATTGGCAGCTGGGGAGTTTGATTGTTTCCTTGCTTTTCAGCAGTATAATCACTAGTTCTGAAAAACCATGACTGTGCAGCAGGTAACTTCCCTCCTTAGTGTTTGTTCAAGCATGCCATTTTTCCCAAGTTTTCTAATAGCTACTATTCATTAACAAATTATATGGAAATATAGTAAGACCTTCATGAACACCACAACAATCTTCAAAAAAAAGTACTATTATTCTTTGAGACTGTGGATTCAGTCCCTCACACAAAAGGAGAAAACTCAGGCCTATTAAAATCAAACCACTGGAGCTGGGCGTTGGTGGCTCACACCTTTAATCCCAGCACTCAGGAGGCAGAGGCAGGTGAATCTCTTGAGTTCGAGGTCAGCCTGGTCTACAGAGTAAGTGCCAGGATAGATAGGTTCCAAAGCTACAAAGAAACCCTGTCTCAAAAAACCAAAAAAAAAAAAAAACCAAAAAAAAAAACCAAAAAAAAAAAAAAAAGGTCATACCATACCACTGCTATGACACAGCAGAGGCATTCAATTCAAGCCAAGGATATTTGACTCTAAAGGTCATCTTTTTTGTTGCTATTAATTTGTATTTTGTATTTCAATACTAGTTACCCATCCCTCTTCTCCGCCTCCTCCCCCTACTTCCCCCCTACCCCACCTCCCATCTGCTCCTTAGAGAGGGTAATGCCTCCCCTAGGAGGTCTGTCCCATCATCTTGTTGAGGCAGGACCCCCCCCCACAGCCATCATCATCATTTTTTTTTTTTTTTTTTTTTTTTGGATTTTCGAGACATGGTTTCTCTGTGGCTTTGGATGCTGTCCTGGAACTCGCTCTGTAGACCAGGCTGGCCTCGAACTCACAGAGATCCGCCTGCCTCTGCCTCCCGAGTGCTGGGATTAAAGGCGTGTGCCACCACCGCCCGGCCATCATCATCATTTTTAGGCACAGGACTGTGATCCTAGCATTCCTGAGGCAGATCTGAAATGCCCATCTAGCCTGATACATACAATAGGGCCCTCCTTGTCCAAAAGGACCCTAAAAGTAATCACAAAGGATTTAAAGAGGCTGGGTGGTAGCGACACATGATTTTCATCCCAGCAGTTGGGAGGCAGAGGCAGGTAGATCTCTATGAGTTTGAGGCCAGCCTGGTCTACATAGTGAATTCCAGGACAGCTAGGGCTACATAGAGAAACCCTGTCTAGAAAAACAAAACAAAAAAGAAAAAACAGTAGTTGAAAAGATTATCATTAATTAAAACTAAAGCTTGAAAAATAAAATAGGGGCTATTTCCTTCTTTCCTAGCTCTTACCTTCTCATCTTCCTCTTCCTCCTCTTCACTGGACTCCACATCATCCATATCCTCTTCCAGAGCACTAACTCGAGGCTCCAGCTGCTCAGCTTCCTCCAGCACATAGCGTTTCTATAGAGAACATAGCAAAAGTTAATAGTCTCTACTACTTCTTTCAGTTCCTGACCCTAACACTGAGCTTCTGGAGTTGATAGAAAAGTCGTGTAGCTATGTAGCAACAGCTTAGGTGTAATATTATTACAATTCAAGACTTTCCTGGAAGTTAATATACATAAACAGAATGCTAAAGAGAACAAAGTCATTTTCAATTGGTTCTGTTTCCTGTGGTCTTACACTATACTATAAGTATGGAATGTCAATCAGTTTGTGTGTAGTCTAATGTTAACCTCAGGGCTGGAGAGATGATTCAGCAATTAAGAACACTTGGCGTACTTGAAGAGGACCTGAGTTCAGTTCCCAGAGGGTCCAATGCCCTCTTCTAGCATTCTCTAGTGGAAGGTGAGAACTGATTCTCAGTAACTGTCCTCTGGCCCTTATATGTCTTGGCAAGCACACACACACACTCCAATAGTAATGACAGGTTAAAAAAAAGGTAAATGTTTTAATTTTATAGACAAGTTTGTTAATCTGTGTGATACATGTACAAGAATGTGCAAATATTTGTGCCCATGCTTACTTATGGAAGGCCAGAAGGGCCTAGGATGTCTTCTGTTGCTCTCTGTCTTGCTGAACAGACACTGGAACCCTGTCATTTTGAATATGTTATCTGACTAGTCAGTTCTGAGAATCTGTCTCTGCCTGCCAACCCTGGGTCACAGGCCCTTAGCAGCCATGCTTTTGACACGGATGCTGGGGTTTTGAACTTAGGCCCTCATGTCTACAAAACAAGCATTCTTTTTTTTAAGATTTATTTATTTATTATGAATATAACATCCTGCTTCCATGAATGGATGCGCGCTAGAAGAGGCACCAGATCTCATTATGGATGGTTGTGAGCTACCATGTGGTTGCTGGAAATTGAATTCAGGACCCTTGGAAGAACAATCAGTGCTCTTAACAACTGAGCCATTTCCCCACAGGGTGGTTTTTTCCATTTTTTTTTTTTTTTTTGAGACAGGGTCTGGCCATGAAGGCTTGGTTGTCCTAGAATTAGACCAGGACAGCCTAAACTTCAGAGATTACCTCCCGAGATCTGGGATTAAAGGCCTGTGCTACAACATCCGTTCAGTGGAGGCTTTTTTTTCTCTCTTTCAATATTTAAAAATTTATAAGTGTGAGTATGTGTGCCAAAGCAGAAGACCACCTTGTATGTCACTGCTTGCCTTCCACTTGGATGGCAGGGTCTTCTTTACTGTGGTGTATACCAGATTATCTGACTCTGAGCTCCTGGCAGTTATCCTGTCTGTTTCCATCTCCCAGTAGTGACCTGCTAGGATGGCTGCTGCAAATGCTAGCTCTGTGAGTTCCGGCGATCTGATCAGGGGGTCAGCTTGTGCAGTAAGTGTTTTACCCACTAAGTCATTTTTTTAGCCCTAAGGTTCCCTCTGTGTGTGTGTGTGTGTGTGTGTGTGTGTGTGTGTGTGTGTGTGTGTGTGTGTGTGTGTAGCTAAGGCTTCCTAAATAGCCACTAGCTGTCTTGAACTCAGCATCTCCTTGTTTCAGCCTCTGGAGTACTAGGGATTACAGGATATGTACCATCTTATTTAACTTGCTTTTTCTGACATAACAATGAACACTGTATGTACATTTAAGTGTTGAAATTTTCACTACAATCAAGATAGTAAATCTCTTCCATCCCTTTAAATTGTCCTGTATGTCTACTTGAAAGATGTAAGGGAGGAACAAGTGGAGACGGTCACAAATATCATGACTCAGCTGGCTTCTTTTCCTCTAGTTACATATTGAGCAGAATGACTTCTTGATGCCTTCCTTCCTTTCTTGTCTCATTGTGTAGCCCTGGCTAGCTTGGAACTTCCTATGTAGATCAGGCTGGCCTTAAACTTATAGAGAATTGCCTGCCTCTGCTTCCTAAATGCTGGGACTAAAAGCATGCATCACCATATCTGGTACAGTTTATTTTCAGCAAAGCTGGCTTCTTCCCCCCTCTTTTCTTTTTTCGAGACAGGGTTTCTCTGTGGCTTTGGAGGCTGTCCTGGAACTGTCTTGGTAGTCCAGGCTGGTCTCGAACTTAGAGATCCGCCTGCCTCTGCCTCCCGAGTGCTGGGATTAAAGGCGAGCGCCACCAACGCCCGGCTCCCTCTTTTCTTTTTAGCAGGAATTTCCCATTTTATAGATAGGGTTCTATAATAATTCAGGAACCTAGTAAATCCTTATCCAGTCAACTCTCCATCACAGCATATTTCATTTCTCTTTAGAATATCCTTTTTTTCTCTTTGTATTTTGCAATGGTAGTTTTTTGTTTTTGTTTTTTTTAACGATAGTTTAAAACTAAAAACTGAAATCTTAGTCAGGCTGGTGATTCAAGCCTATAAACTTAAAGACAGGCAAGAGAACAGCCAAGTTTATATGGTCAACCCCAGGCCAGTTATTGCTATATGGTCAAGACTATCAAAAAACAAAACAACACAAGAAACAACACACCACCAAACACCCCACAACCTTGAAGGGTTGGGATGTGAGGCGGGAGGGTAAACAAGTTCAGAGGACTGAGAGCTCATTTTCTCATTCCAAGTTACTCCAGCTACAACACCTGTGATAATACATCCTGAAGAAGAAACCTTTTCTCTAAACGTTCACTTCCAAAGCCCTACTCCTGAAACATTAACTGCTTCATCTCATTTCCTATCCTGTATAAAGTTCAATATAAGGACTTACTAAGACAATCCTTCAGACCTCAGTGTTTCACTACTCATTTCTGGGAAGCAAAAGGTGACTCTTATAATAGACCCTTGTCACATACCTGTAGCCGGGGCAAAATGATATCACAGACTCTCTCACTGTGCAAAAGTTCATCAATGAACTCATCCACGTGCATCAATTCAAACTCTGGAAGAGAAGATGATTAGTTCAAGCAACCTGGAAATGATAGATTTAGGTAACCAAAAAGTCAAGGAATCATTTTATACGACGCTCCCTACAAGCCACAGCTCTTTGCTTATTCTGGAGATGGAGACTGAACCTGGGGCCTCGTGCTTGTCTAGCTAGCACCCTGCCACTGAGCTAAATCCCCAACCTCTTTTAAAACATTTTAATTACACTACCATTTATTTATTGCACATGCACACACGCATAGTATATGTGCAGAGGTCAGAGGAAACCTGACCCTCTTCTCTCCTTTCATCATCTGGATCCCAGACTTAAGTCAGACTTGACAGGAAGTGTCAGCCCAATCAAGCGTCTCTAGGAGCCAGGGACTAAGGAATGAGGCTGTTCCAAGTAAGAAAAGATGGGTTGTAGGTATAGTATAGTTCAGTGGTAGGGCATCTGCCTTGTATGTATGAGGTTCTAGGTTCAGTTCCTATCAACACTATAAAATAAAACCAAAAACAGGAGACACAAACATAAAAGTAAACACAAACAATATTGAATTATGTAGGATAATACTGAGTAGATAACTCAAGATTAAGTAACTCAAGTTAATTCTAGTAGATCATTTAACTGTAATTTCTCACATCAAACCATAATATCCCTGAATATACAATATTTCTCTTTTAGGGGCCTCTGGTGAGATAGCCCAGCAGGTAAAAGCACTTGCCACACAAGCCTGATGATCTGAGTTTGATCCCAGGAACCCACGGTGGAAAAAAAGGACCAATTCTTAGATTAGTTTTTGACTTCTACATTTGCACCATAGCACACAAGTGCTTATTTACAATCATAATTACAAACACATAGACACACAAAATAAAACATTAAAAGAATATTATCTTAGTTTTATACAAGTGACTTTGCATACCTCTATCACCCTACTTAAAGGAAGGGCTGTGTCCATTAGGGAGCGTACAGGGATGCCGCTTAACATATTGTCATGTACGGCACTACCACAGACCAAAGATTTACCCAGTCAAAAATGTCAATACTTTGAGAAGGATCATCTTAGTTTACTACAATATAGGCAACTTGTTCAAAAATGACCACAGTCATACCCATCTGATCCCCTGGCTTATCACCAATTCTCAGTACATTTTAGTTCAGTGAAGAAATATATTAATAAAAGTTTAATGTACAATACAGATTTAGAATGCCTAAGACAAAAAATCCTAAATTTGAAATGATCTCAAATCTGAATGTCTTTGAACACAGACATGATACTTACTCATTATGTTTTGGATTTTGAAGTGTTTGAGGTTTCTGGATAGAGATGCTGATAGTCTGTTTATACACTGTTTCAAAATCTAAAATACCCTGAAATCTGGTTCTAAGCCATTCTGAATAAGGGATATTCAACTTACACTAAATTTTCAACCTTCTATACTCCACCTAGTCTACCAAGTATAGCATGAATACAGTCCTAGATAAGTAGCCTGCAGGGGGAAAAGAAGTGAAGCTGTAGCTGAAAAATTACTTTGGACAGGCTAAGTCAGGTTTTATAGAGAAACCATTTTTGAAGCTTCTAGATCTTGTGGATGGCACAGGTGTGGAAGATATGTCTGATGTAAGTCAGTGTTTACCATAATATGTAGCTGGAAAGGGAGGCAGCCATGTGCCAAAAGCGTTAAGGCCAACCAGTGGTGGAGATGTGAAATTTGGGTGAAGACAGTAACTATGCAGATGAAGAGGAAGGTTTAGTGTATGTGAAAATACAAATGGCCGAGGAGTCAGAGTCCAGGGACTTGGTATCATACTCACCCCCATTGCGGTTCTGGCTCTTGATTTTTCGATAGTCATTGTACAAAGGCTCCAAGTACTTGTAGCAATCAATTGCAGTTCCCGTCAGCCTCATGTAAAGCGCCCCCAACATGCGGACATACCTAACAGAGAGGACATTGAAACAACAGGCCATCCTAAGAGTTCCTGAGTCTTATAACTGGCTTTTCTCATGACAATAGTAGATAAAAGTGTTTTTTTTTCCCTTCTTTTTACCAGGTAAGAAAGCCATAATATTGAGGGTACCATAGAACAGATGATGGCTAAAATATGGAGACCTAATGAGTTTTCTAATCTATGGATTACTGGCTACGGGAGCTTGGTACATTTTGCTCAACTTTCAGATATATCTTCTGTAAAACTTCACAGAATTAGCGTAAGATTCCAAAAAGATAACAAATTTAACACAAGGCATTATATACATTTTACAACAATGCTAGAACAAGCATACATAGCCACAAACAGGTTCTGGAAAAAGGTCAAAGTCACAGAGGTTAAAACTCTGATTTCATGTATTATTAACTTTGATAGTAGACATGTACTTGTTCTAATACGAAGAGGCTGCAACCAAATTTACTGTCTTGGTGCCATAAATAAATGTAAGGAAAACTGTGTCAGAATGGCATGAGCATGTGTTTAAGTCATTACAAAATTATCTATTTTTCTAGCTATTTTTTTTGTACTATTCCTTTCTCATGTATCCAATTCTCACTCAAGTCTCCATCTGAAATCCAAGCTTCATCGTATGAAAAGAGCAGTATAACGGAGAATATACACTCTGACATGAGTTTTAGCTGAGGTCCAGCACCCAGGAGGCAGAGGACAGAGAACTGCCATAAATACACGCCAGCCAGCACTACCTTGTGAGGCACTATTTCAATTAAAACAAAAACCACAAAAAGAAAGTGTACTCTGAAGCCATTTTGCCTCCCCAATTCACAATGGGGGATAAAATCCAGACCCCTGCATTTCTTCTACTACCAAGCTTTATCTCAGCTCTAGACCTGCCACATACTCGTCTGACCTTAGGCAAATTACTGACAATCTCTCCAGGAGTCTCAGTTTCTTCACACGTAAAATTGGTATTGTATTTTTTAATTGGTGGTGTGACTAAAAAAAGAATCAGTAAGTATAAAGCCCTTAAAACACATCACGGTACATGATCAGGTATTATACCTGACTCTGAACTCCAAGAGAATGGATAGTAAACATGGAGCAGTTTATTATGGTTACCATGTATTGGTAAGCTTAAAAAAATTAAAGACTGTCACAGTCAATAGGTACCAAAGTTTGGATAAGATACAGATATAACCTGTTAACTAAAATTGTATGTTATATGACCCCATAGCTATTGCCTATCAACAAATCATTTTGATGAGACAGTGTGGGTGTGTGTAGATGTACATATATTTGTGTGTATTTATTTAAGTTGTGAAGTACTTTTGGGGGAGGGAGAAGTTACAAAGACTGACAAAGTAGGTCTACATAACCTCAACAGCCAACCACAACTTCAAGGGCAAAAGCCTGTGAAAAGTAAGAAATATAACACCCAGTCCTACTAACAAAGCCAAATTCTGAACCACTAAAATTTTTGTACTAGTCAACATTGTACTCACTTGAAATCTTCATTTTTTATGAACTCAACAATGATATCTTTCTCAGGTTGAATTTGAAGCATCTTCAAGGTTAAACACAGGAAAGGGGTTGGCTTTATGTTTCCACCATAGACACCACCCACAAACCTTAACTCCATGGCTTTGTCGACTACAAGCTCAGCTGAAATACACAAATAGTGACATCTTAGACATAATAAAGGTTTTAGCTTTTCTTGGTTGGAAGGTGAAAGAGTTAAAGGCTTAGAGCTCCTAAATAGTCAACAAGAATTTAATATTGGGAGAACAGGTACTTATTTACAATAGTAATAAAAATGACTGCTGGAACTACCCCATTGAAAAAAGAAATACCCCTTATCCCAGTCCCCATTGTTTGTAATCCGCCAAGGAAGGGTGTGGCCCATGAGTCTGCAATCTTTATCCAACAAATCGTGGAGGAAAAAGTCCTGTCATTACTATCAGATGCTGGGCGGTGTTGACGCACGCCTTTAATCCCAACACTCGGGAGGCACAGGCAGGTCATCTCTGAGTTCGAGGCCAGCCTGGAACAGTTCAAAGAACCTAAAGAAACCCTTCAGCATCAAGAAAGTGACTGTCAGATTTGTCTGTGTCCTCTCTAGGACAAAGTCTAGGCACCGAGCAATTTACGTGAATGGTTGACATTCACTCTTTTGCAGTACCAACACCCTAAGGTCTATCCTTCCTCATTGGGTTACGAGAAACCAGCCGCAAAGCCGAGACGCGGGTCGCACTGCCACTCACCCGTAAGTCCAAAGCACTCTTCTTTCCAGTACTTTGACTCATAGATTCGAGTCCGAATGATTTTCTCCACCAAGTACTGAGGGTTGGTGCCATGGATGCTGTGGGCATCCTTGACCGTACGGTTCGCCATTTTAGAACGCTTTCAATTCTATTTCCGTCGGCTTCTTCAATACGTCACATCCAGGTCTAAAAAAGATCTCCAGAGGCTGGGGAAACCCTTTCAACCCCTGAAAGCGACCCGCTAGGAACCGGAAACTGCGACGCTAAACACTTGTCCGGGACTACGCAGGGCGGGCATCAGCGATGGCGGAAGTACGTCATGAGCCCTCGGTGGGCGTGGCGAGGTGTAGGGAACGCCAATCGGAATCAAGCTGTGGGCGGAGTTACGGCTTGTGGCGCGAAAAGGTTTTGCTCTGACTTCCAGTCCTGCTCAGGCACGTGCTGTGCGTTCGCGGCGCGGCTGGCTGTCCCGGACGGGCGAGAGTTGTGCAGCTCACCGACTGCCTGGACTGGAGTCGGTGGCAAGCGCAGGGGAGCGGCCGGCCCTGGCAAGCTTCGGCGTGGTGAGTGCGACTCGCGGCCCGCCGGCCGTTCTTCAGACTTAATGATTTCGTTCCACACACAGGCGCCAAGAACCTAGTAAGTGGCGGGCACTGTTCTCTAGGAGCGAACAGACCCTCCGAGTATCCACCAAAGTCCTGCTTTGCGGGAAACCGAGTGCTTGCCCCGTGGGAGCCGGAAGTCCACCTCAGAGACGTGGGTGGTGCTCGCCCTCGGTGCCTAAGGCTTTTTTTCCAGAGGCGTGTGCACTGCCTCTGCAAAACCCTCGCAACCTTTTTCTGGAACGGCGGAGCTGATGCTGTTTACCCACTAGTGATTGCGCCCAGAGAGAAACTTTCTCTAAGTCACCTCTTGTGACTTTGGTGTCTCTCCAAATGGGTTGCTTTTGGCCGAAGCTTTCATCACCAATCACAGAAGAGAACGTCGGATGGCCCGTGTTCTACTTTCTAGGGTCTAACTTAGAACAGAATGTCCTTTTCTTGTAAAGTGGTTGTCCTAAGACTTGAGATGAGATTCCCGTTCAGGATCAGTACGAGTGAAACTGCAATGATGAGGCCATTTTAATTGTCCATAGAAGTCGAATAGTCGTACATTATTCTCTACTGTATTTTTGTTTTTCGAGACAGTATTTCACTGGGAAGTACTGGCTTTCCTGGATCTCGCTCTGAACCAGGCTAGCCAAGAACTCAGAGACTGCCTCTCCGGCTCTGGGATTAAAGGCGTGTTCCACCATGCCTTGATTTATAGAATTATTGTGTATTTATCTGTTTATTTACATTTTGGTTTTTCGAGACAGGGTTTCACTGCGTAGCTCTGGCTAACCTGGAACTCACTCTGTAGACCAGGCTAGCCTCTAACTCAGAGATCGGCCTGCCTCTGCTTTCCAAGTGCTGGGACTAATAATGGCTTGGACGACCACCATCCGGCCAGAATTACAATTTTTTAAGAGGTGTATTAGAAGACAATATTTAGATGTTGGGAAGTTTCTGAATTATGTGAAATTGAGTTCAGTGTTTTGGATTGAACTGTGAATTATGTAACATTGAGCTGTACTTAAATAAAATGCTTATCTTTATATTTGAATCTAAGAAAGTAGTGTTAATCAGATTTAGGATCATAGCCTGTGCTCTAGCAAGCCAAGTTCTGCCACTTGTTCTCAACATTCCAATTAAAGAAAAATTATGACCTGCAAAATGACACAACCAATATTTGCCCTTGACATTAAGCTAGAATCCAGGAACTCAGAGGTTGGAAAGAGAGGACCTCCTTCCTCAAATTGTCTCGTGTCCACATGTGCTTTGGCACCTGGTAAACAAGTACTTTTTTTTTCCCTTGGGACAGTGTTTCTCTGTGTAACAGCCCTGGCTGACCTGGAACTCAGTTTGTAGACCAGTCTGGCCTGGAAGAGATTCGAATATCTGTGCCTCCTGCGTGCTGGGATTAAAGGTGTGTGCCAATCTAGCAAAGTAAATGTTTTTTAAAAGACAAAATAGTGAGAATCAGAAAAAAAAAGATTTCTTCAGTATTGCTACATTGGAGGGAGGGGGCCAGAGAGAGAGCCAGTGGCCCTGCCTCATTCTGTATTCTCAGTCCTGATGTGAGGCTAAGGTTTAAATAAAGGCAAGTGTGCCTTAACTAAGTAGTCTGCCAAGTCTGCCAGAGATGCCCTGACCACCATTGTCTCAGACAAGTTCCTCTGGCTTTCCCTAGCTTCAGCCTTCCTGGAGCAACAAATTTTTTCTTGGGGTCCATTGTTCAAGAGTCAGTTATAGTAGGGTGGACATGGGTTTGTTATGCAGTATTTTCCCACCTTATTACTGATTATCTTAGAGTAGTACTTAGCACATAGACCTCAAGTAATAATGGTTAAATAAAAAGACACTATTATCTCTATTTTGTGGATTAGGAAATTGAAGCCCAGTGGACCTGTCACTCTTTTTTTTTTTAAGATTTATTTTATTTATTATGAATACAACATCCCACCTCCATGTATGTCTGCATGCCAGAAGAGGGCACCAGATTGAATTGTAGATGGTTGTGAGCCACCATGTGGTTGCTGGGAATTGAACTCAGGACCTCTGGAAGAGCAATCAGTGCTCTTAACCTCTGAGCCATCTCTCCAGCCCCGGACCTGTCACTCTTATTGGGAATCGTAACTTAAATTTTTAAGTCAGAAGTAAATGCTCTGACATAATGTCTAGTTTCTCACTTAATACTATACAGAAGGTAAGGCAGAACAGTCATTGACATCTGGCTCTTCCAAATTAGAGTTAAGGCTGTGTTATCTGTAAAATTGGGCCTATTGGCAGGGTTGTGGTAGAGCATGCCTTTAATCCCAGCATTTGGGAGGCAGAAGCAGGCCTGGTCAAGTTCCATGACACCTGGGACCGTTATACAGAGAAACCCTGTCTCAAAAAACAAACAACAACAACAAAAACAAAACAAAAAAATTGAGACCCTGGCCGGGCATTGGTGGCACACACCTTTAATCCCAGCATTCAGGAGGCAGAGGCAGGCGGATCTCTGTGAGTTTGAGACCAGCTTGGTCTACAGAGCTAGTTCCAGGACAGCCTCCAAAACAATACAGAGAATCTCTGTCTGGAAAAAAAACAAAAACAAAAAATTGACCCTGTTATTACCTTACCAAGATAATGGCTACCTTTAACTAGCAAATACTTTTTTTTAATATTTTATTTATTTATTGTGTATACAGCTTTCTGCCTACAGGCCAGCAGAGGGTACCAGATCTCATTCAAGGTGGCTGTGAGCCACCATGTGGTTGCTGGGAATTGAACTCAGGACCTCTGGAAGAACAGTCAGTGCTCTTAACCACTGAGCCATCTCTCCAGCCCCGAAAATACTTATTGAACATCCAAAAAGTTATGTATATTGTTCTGGGGTTATTTTTCAGAATTGAAATACATATGTCAATCGTTTTGGCTCAACTTTTAGTAAAGTTCCTGTATACATTTGGGTGTGGCTTCTGTACTAGGTGCTGTGCTTATTTCAGATTTCTGGTATCTGTGACATCAAAACTTTTTAATGGGCATCTCTAGAAGTCAACCCCTTCTTTTGGCCAATCCAGGCCAGCCGTTTCAGGATTCCTGCCTGGTTCTGGCACCGCTGCAGATAAACACACAGACATGAAACTGTTGGCCATTGGCTTGGGCTTCTTTTTGGCTAGCTCTGTCTTAATTACTAACCCATTTCTATTAACCTAAGTATTTCCACGTGGTCTTCTCTTACCGGAGAAAGACAGGCCTTGAACTTGGTGATCCCCTCCTGCTTCAGACTCCTGAAGCCACCCAGCTGGCTTCTTTGCTCTTTGTTCTGTGTCTACCTTGTATTCAGTTAAAATGGATTCATTTTTGTAGCACAGCCAGAGCAGTACAAGTTAGTAACACTGGTAATATGTTGTAAATTATACTCCACATAATCATTATGCAATCATTTGTGCCTGTTTTGTTTTTGAGTCAGGGTCTTGCTATGTGTAGCCCTAGATAACCTGGAGTTTGTCATGTAAACTAGGCTGGACTGGACCTCAACTGAAATCCATTTGCTTCTACCTCCTAAATGCTGAAGTTCAAGGCCATCGCTCATCTATCTCTTCTCCCTGCCCCCCCAAAGGTTTTTGCAAAGCTAATTTTTATTCAAAGTGTAAGTAAGGGAGAAAGCAGACTCCTTACAACAGGAAGGGTCCAGAGCCAGAGCCCCTCATGCATCTTATTATATAAGTGGTTTACTAATGACCCAGTATCTTCATTTCACTATTAGAGTTTCTTCAATATTTTTTCCTTTTTCATTAAAGCAGCTGGACAGTGTGGCACACACCTTTAATCCTAGCACTCAGGAGGCGGAGGCAGGTGAATCTCTGTATGTTCCAAGCCAGTCTGGTCTACAGAGCAAGTTCCAGGACAGCCAGGACTACACAGAGAAACCCTGTCTCAAAAAAAGGAAAGGAAAGGAAAAGCAGATAAATTTTAGGGGTCAAATTTTCTTGGATAGAATATAGTACAATGATATAAAACTCAAGGAAACCAATTTATGCTTTTATAATTGGTTCCCCGCCCCTGCAACAAGACTTTGTTTTCATCAGTAATTCAGAAAAATTCTAAGTCCCAGTTTTTTCATGTTAGGCCTATGAGAGCTATAAGAAAAACATGAAATCTTGATTAAAGGTTTATTAATTAATTCTAAGATGCTGTGTTAGTATTTTTATTAGGGATGATAGGTTTTAATGTCTAAATCTTTTGTGGAAAAGGTTATATTTCGACTTCTTGATCCTTTAACTTTTTTGTCACTAAAAATGTACTTTAGAGATTTATTTAATAGGAACTTTTGCCTCTGTGTGTGTGTGTGTGTGTGTGTGTGTGTGTGTGTGTGTGTGTGTATGTATGTAAGTGTACCTAATAACATCACCAGCTATAGCAGCTAGAGGAGAACATGCAATCCAACTACAGTTACAGGCAGTTGTGAGCCACCACGTAGGTGCTGGGAACTGAACTTTGTTCTTTGCAAGAGCAGCAAGTACTCTTAATTGCTGAGTCATCTCTCCACTGTGTACTTTAATGTCAGCGTTTGTTTTTACCTATTCAGAATACTCTGGGTCTACCAGATGCAAAGAAAAATACACTTCCAAAGCAGTATAGTCAGTTACTGGTTTTGTATGGGTGTATTTTATGCACATGTACATGTGTCGGCCAGAAGTCAACCT